ACTGTATAAAACCATTATTGCAGAATGAATATAAGGATCTAAGGGGGGGTGAAAATAGAGAGGTGAAGATGGGTGGGTGGGTAAGATGTTAATCATAGGTTTGCACAATTCTATGGGTGGGTAGGGTGAAGGAAATGGGAAGGATATTTTGTGAAAAACAATGTTTTCAAACGTTGTATATAAATCAGAATAAAATTTATAAATTAAAAAAAGTTAAGTATTCTGGCTGTATAGTCTTGATGAACTCAAATTAAAGACCTTGTATTTTGCAAACAGTTCTTATACTTCTCAGAGTTAATGCAAGTAGCATTTTCAACATATTTAGCTTGATTTTTCTCCATGTGGTAGATCACTGAAAGATGATCATCATGAGTCTTTTTTTGTTTTTTTAATTCAAAGTTATTAAAAATACATCCTCTTCCATTCTCTTCTGAATCATTACAACTCAAAAACTCAAATACTGAATCTGAAATGACTCATAGCTGACCCTCTAGCTGGTTTCAGACACTTTAAATCACATAAGAAGAAATTGTCTATCTTTTTCCTGCCAAGCAGCTGATAGGTTTGAACAGCCTGACTTTGAGTTAGTAGTTGAATTCCTTATTCACCAGGCCGTCAGAGTTCCTTTTACGACTACTAAATCAAGATGATTTTATCATCCCTTCAACATAACTGGAAACCTTATTTATACTTGTTAGACGTCATCAAGTCAATTGCCACGGATGGTGACCCTACGAATGTTGCCCTATCTTGTGCCACTCTCATGATGTTGGTCAAGCTCAAGTCTACTGTGGTAGTCACTGTGATAATCCATCTTGCTGAGGGCATTACTCTCTATACTGACCTGCTACCTTTCCCAGCATGAAGTCTCTCTCCAAGGACTGGTTAATCCTCATAATATACTCAAAGTTGGTTAGATGACGTTTCATCATTCTTACTTCTAAGAAGCACTCTGGTATCCTCTCCTTCAAGACAGGTCTATTTGTTCTTTTGGCAGTCCATGGTATAGTCAATATTCCTCATCAACACCACAATTTAAAAGCATAGGTTCTTCTGTCATACTTATTCATTGTCCAACTCCCAGATGCATAGAAGCAATTGAAAATACCAAGGTTTGGATCAAGAGTGCCTCAGTTTTTAAACGGGCATTCTTGTTGTTTTGAACTTTAGAGTGGTTCTTGACATCAGGTTTCTCCAGTACAACCTGCGTTTTGATTTCTCAACTACTATTAACATGAGTGTTGACTGTGTATCCAAGTAAAATGAAATCACTGACAACTCAATCTTTTCTCCATATCTCATGATTTTTCTCATTTGTCCACTCGTGAGGATTTTTTTCCCTTGATGTTGATATATAACCCATATTGAAGGCTCTAGTCTTTGATCTACTGCAATTAGGGCTTTAAGTCTTCTTCATTTTTTTGCAAGTTAGGTTTTGCAGGTTGTTGATGATTCTTCCTCTAATTCTGATGCCATATTCCTCTTCTCACAGTGTGGTTTCTCAAATGATTTGCATTTGCACCAGCAGAGTTGATTTGGTATTAATCAGCATCATGGTCATTGCTGAACACCAGCTAGTGCCTTTTGTTTCCTACATATTGTTTCTAAACCTCAAAATAGCCCTAGAAGGTGAATATTACTGTTCACATTGTCCATATGAAGGAACAGAGGCTTAAAGGTACTATGGGTTTGTTCAAGACTATACAACCAGTAAACAGATGGAACAAGATTGGGCTTAGCATCAGTAGATTCTGCTCATTCACACAAGGGTATATTATACAACACTGAAAAACAATGAACCTATGGAACACAATGCAACAAAAATGAGTCTGGAAGCCATTATGCTGAGTTAAATACCTTAATCACAAAAGGACAGATACTGCATAAGACTGCTGTTAAAAAATAGGATGGACATGGGTGGGAGGGTAAAACAGAAAAAGAATAGAGAGATAATGAACACTGCACTGGAATAGGCAAAGGAAATTAAAGGAATGAGTGATCAGGTATTATATATAAATGACAACAATCTGGAACAAAACATACAAAATAAATTGAGGGGGAGTGGAAGGGAGGAAAAATGTTTATCAATGAGTGAATGGAAACCCAACATTTTTGTAAATTTTCACTAAAATCACAATTATAAAACCAAAACAAAACAAATTTTAAAAACTTTTTTTCAAAGATTTTGCTTATTTCCTAGAACATCCTATCAACAATCTTTATATAAGCCAGTTTATATACTCTTGAAACTGCATCATTCTAAAGCTATGATCCACGGTTAACCCGCATACAAAATAAAATGATAAATTACCATCTAAATTTAGAAAGCATTGAAGAATATAAATCAGGTGTTTATTTCAAGTCAAAGTCACAGCAATGATAACAGAATTAGGGCTCAAAACAGAATGTTTATTATTTCTTTGATAGTCTGTTAATGATCTTGTGCTGAGGGCAAAGTGCTATTTTTCAGAAATCAATTTTAAAAAATAAATTCATCAGTAATTCATGGGAAGGTCACTCACTGATAAGACACTATAATTAATTGTATCAATCCAGTCTAATTTATGTAATAAAGCAAAAGATATATGAATGAAAATACAATATGACTTGCAAATTGTCACTCAAAAAAAAGAAAAACGTTAAAAAATAGAAAGTAGAAAAATACCTCCCCTATGCCCCACACATTTATATCTAAGATGTTAAAATGGAGAACAAAGCATACATGTGAGATTTCCTGTGCCAGATATTATATTTGGGAAATCTGGACACTAGGGCCCTCAAATTGTTCCTTTTAATTAACATTTAACATGCAACAAGGTTTACAGACTAAGAATAGAAGCTTAGCATTTCCTGCACAATATTTATATTATCTCCAGGATACTCAGTGAAAGTGAGAAAATACACAAGAGTGAGCGGTCAAAACCCATAACACTGTGTATCTTTATCTTCAGGCACGTGGAGCACGTGCACAAAATACACAGTACCCCCTTAGATAACCCTGGGAAAGTGTGGCTCTTGCTTTCAAACTAAGTATATTTCTCAGCACCATGAGCTAAATTTGAAAAGGAAGAAAAGGCTAATTGGTTTTCCCTTGAGGTCAAGAATTTTAACATAAATCTGAGACAGGGAAAAGGTAGGAAGGAAAGGCAAGTGGAAATATTGTTCCTCAGCAACTCACTGTCTGAAGTATCTCCCAAATATTGATTGCAAATATAGTCCTGTTTGTATTATCATAGGCATGCATACATTTAGAAGTTCCTAGTCAATATCATCAGTGTAAAAGAATTCACCAAACCTCTGAAAACTCATCAGATTTAATATGCAATTGTGGAAATAGAAACCTACTTGTGCCTTGGGAAATCCACGACAGAGATTTTTCTGAGAGAGATCTGAAGCGAGGTTTGATCAGATCTTCCACAGTGACTGCTGCTAAGGCATTAATACTGGAGGACACTGTGCTGGAAGGAAAAACAAAGCTAGTTAGTTATAATACCTTTATTTTAAGAACAATCAAAGAAGGGCTTTACCATGAGACCAGAAGAAATGGATGGTGCCCAGCTACCATCTCATATCAAAATGCTGAACATTTTTATCACTTTTATCTATAGGTGAATGCTAATGGTAAAACAAAAAGGAAAAGCATGAAAAAGAAGTTCAAACTTATATAGAAACCAGACTTATTGGATCCATTGAGACTGAAGGAAATGTTAACTCTGTTGCCTGGAAATAATCTTTCAACTTTCAACCAAAATTATTTCCCTCTGGAGCTGGCAACTTGAATTTGAACTTCTATCTGCGTAATTAGTACTGAGGAGCAAAGATGGTAGTTTGAAGGCTAAGGTGTGCTGATTCAGGCCATGGTCTTTTCAATCACTTTCTATGCGTCTGAGAACTGGACAATGAGTAAGGATGGCAGAAGAATTGATGTCTGTGAGCTGTGGTGTTGGAGAAGAGTACTGAACATCTTATGGACTTCCAAAAAAACAAATAGATATTTGTTTGAAGGCAAGGATGGTAAAGCTTCTTCTCACATACTTTGGGAATGTTGCTAGGAGAGGCTACTCCTTGGAATGGGACATTAAGCTTGAGAAGATGAGGAGCCAGTGAAAGAGAAGAAGACTCAAAGAAATGGACTGATAGAGTGACTACCGAAATGGGTTCAAATGTGTCAAAAAGTATGAGGGTGGCACAGGATAGGACAGGGTTCAGTTCTGTTGTTCATAGAGTCGTTATGGATAGTATTCGATTCTATGGCACTCAACAACAATCTGCCTAATTGATGAGAAAATACATTCGTTATTCATTACAATCACCATTTGAGGTGTTTCTGTTATAACAGCACTAAGAGCCTATACTAAGGTAATATAAAATGAAAAGAAAATTAAAAAGGGACGTTTCCATTAACAAAACCATTAGAGTTCATACCTTAGTGTTCCACTGTAAGCACAGGCCACAAAAAGCCCAGGAATTCCCGGATAATCTTGCAGAATGTCCAGGACCATATAAGGCATGAGCTGAAAAGATTTCAAAATTTACTTCCAAGGACTATGTTGTTATTGAGTACAATTAATTGATACCTACATTAAATATCCTTCAAAAACTAAAGGGAGAAAATTCAACTCTAACTGGCAACATTTTCAAGAAACTTTCAAGTATTTAAAGAAATACTATAGTGGTTAAGGGTACAAGCTTGGGATTCAGAAAAATTCTGCTTCTTTATTTCTCTCAGCATCAATTTGTCATCTGTAAAATGTTGTAGTTATTATGTGCCTTCAAGTCAACGGGGACTCATAGTGACCCTAGGCACAATAGCTCTCAACCCTGATATTGACTCTAAATGTAAAATGGGCACATCAATATTAATAAAACCATGGAATAGCTCTAAAGGTGATTGTTGTTAGGTGCCGTCAAGTTGAGGATAACTCATAGAAACTCTATGAACAGCGGATCTGCACCCCATCCTATTCTGTGCTCTCTTCACACTTCGTGACACACTAGAGCCCATTGCAGCAGTCACCATGTCAGTCCACCTGGTTGAGGGTCTTCCTCTCCTTTGCTGACCCTTCACCCTCCCCAGCATCATGTCCTTCTCCAAGGACTAGACCTTCCTAGCAACATGCCGAAAGTATGTGAGGCAATGCCTCACATGATTGCCTCCAAAGAGCAGTCTGGCCGCACTAAGGGGTGTGGGGGGGGGTGGTGTGTGGGTGTGTGTTTATTTGTTTGTTTGTTCTTTTGGCAGTTCATGGGATGTTCCCTACAAGCCGGTTTTGTGGCTTAGTGGTCAAGAGTTGTGCTGCCAACCCAAAGGCACACTGGTAGAATCTACCAGCTGCTCCACAGGAGAAAGATGAGCAGTCTCCTCCCGTGCAGTTAACTGCCTCTGAAAACCCATTGGATGGTCAGCTATGAGTCAGTTCCAACTGCACAGTACATAACAAGAAACAACATACGTGATATAATAATAAATGCTCGATGAAAGGTAGCTGTTATAATTTCTGTCATAATGAGTCATCTCAAGGGGTATTTTACCCACTTCTGTGATTAATTAAGGAGCCATGGTGGGAAGTCAAGTGTTGAATTGCCAATTAAAAGGTCAATGGTCCAAATTCCACATTTACTCTGAGAGAGAAAGAGGAGACAGTCTGCTCTTAGCAAGATTTACAATCTTAAAAACGCAGTGCAGAGCAAACCTGAATTAGAATCGACTAGATGGCAATGGGGTAGATTGGGTTGGTGCAAATTTCCCACAATATCTTAGACGTTCAAACAGAATTAAGATAGCAATCACTTCTTTTAACGTTTACTTGCTGTCTCCAGGCCATCTTTGTGAACTGTCAGGACTCAAGACTGAAGACGTAATTACACTGGCCTGTTGTGTGAGGCATAGTGATGAGTAGACAGCAACTACCAGAAATCCCTGAAACTGATAAACTTGCAAAATGTCTAATACCAACTCACTTTGTTATTGTTTTTAGAAGAACAAATATTAAGTGAAGGACTGACAAATATATGACTTCAGGACTAAATTATATCTACCAATGTTTCTGCAAAATTAATCTTTTACCCAAGAGTCTCAAACAGACAATTCTTCATAAACGGAAGCATTCTAGATGGTTTCCTCACAGTGCACAGTGGATCAGCACAGCCTGTCTTAGTTCCTTCAGCCTCTTTGATTTCACTTAACAATACGGTACATAGAAGAACATCCCCACTCTCATGGGAATCTGTGTTGAGTTGTAGGAAGGGTGCCTTCCCCAAAACTTACTAATCCCTTATCCTCAGAAAAAGAGAACATTGCATTTCCCAAAATTCTCCATTATGCCTTAAGAGTTCAAGCAGGAATAACACATTAGGAAGGTTTCTACATATATGTCATAGTAAAGTTTCCACCATAATGAGATCCAAAATCCTTTACTATGCTGCATTGAAAAACAAGGAACTTAGGCAATATTATTCAAAATGGGTGACCTTGGAAGACATGCTGAGTGAAATATCTCAGTCACAAAAAGACAAATACTGCACAGTGCCACTGTTGTAGAACGGGACTGACATAAGGTTTGGAATAAGACTGAGAAAAACTGGATAAATTACGTATACTGCATTGAAACAGGTGAGGGAGAGAACAGTTTAAAAGCTATATATGATTGGGTATTATGGTTAGGACAAGAGTCCAGAATGAAGGCTGCATAGTGGAGTGTATTCAGGGTGGGGGGATTGAACACCAATGAAGGAATTTTACTTTTTAAGGAGAGGAGTGAACTGCGAGGGGGCGTTGGCAGGGAGAAAAGTGCAATAATGAATGAATGGAAATCCAAAATCTCTGTAAATGTTCATTAAAATAAAATAAAATAAATCTCTACTAAGCCTGTACTTTCTCAATCATCTTCAGTATCATAGTTCATACAGTGACTGGCTCTCCAATAAATAGTTGGTATCAATGAGTTAAGACTAACTGGGAGGGAAATGACGAGACATTCTTCATGTTTGCTCCCTGAGTGCTCCATCAAAGGGTTGTTAAGCTGTTGGGATATGCCGTCAAGCTCACAGCTGACCACTCATCTGGTTTTTAGAGGTCTTAACTTGCACAGCAGAAGACTGCCCATCTTTATCCCATGAAGCAGCTGGTGGGTTCAAAGTTGGTTCAGTTCCCAGCAATGTACCACATGCACAGTCACTACTCATCTGTCAGCACAGGCTCGCCTTTTACCATGATGTTGAGTGGTGCCGGTGGAGCTAAATCCACTTCCAAAACATTCAACATCATGGTAATGTCAGCCAATGAAAACTCTCTGGATCACAATGGTCTAATTCACAGGAACCAGCAGCATTTGGTTCCGTTGTGCACGGTGCACTATGAATCAGCACCAACCCCACAGCAGCTAACAACAACATGGCACAGAGTCTTGGAGTGAAGATTCTGACAACAGCCTGCTTGAGTTTGAATCCTCAGTCCAAACTTACTAGCTGATTACTGGTTACTCCAACTACTTAACCTCCCATCTTCTCTCCCTTAACTCTGACAAGGGGATATTCATAGTACCTACCTCAAAGGAAGGAGTATGATTGCCTAGTGGGTAAAGAGTAGTACTGCCAACTCAAAGGCAGGCAGCTCAAATCCACCAGCTGTTCCACAGGTGGAAGATGTGCAACAGTACCATTTACAGCCTCTGAAAACCCACTAGAGGAAGAGCTAAGAGTTGGTCCAACTTAACAGCACCTAAAAACAACCACCTCAAAAGACATCTTGAAGATTAAAATGTGACATTTACATACCACCTGACACATAGTATTTATTGAGTGTTAGCACTTCTTCATATGTATTTTATATGTGGTTGAGGTTAAATTAGAAAACCATTCTGAAACTATTTCCTCTTCTATAAAACGAGAAAGGCAGGGTTGTGAGATAAAGCGTGCAGAAATCTTGGCAAGAACCATATTGTTTGGTGCTCAATAAATGTTTGCGTACTAAATCCCTATCTGGGTCATTTAAAAACTGCTGGGAAGATAATAACAGCTATAGCTCTAGAGCTAAATGCTCTGGTGTTTCCTGGTTTGTCTGTGATTTGTTTTTCTTTTTACTGTATCTACACGCACACCCAGCCTTGGGATACGTCTTTGGAAGAACACTTGGCTTGACTTTTTCTAGGTATTTTCATAGTTTAATTTCTCTTTTTGTGACAGCGGGGAATTCTTCATCTTTGCCAGTCCCGGCCGACTGCCACAAAGTTGATTCCGACTCACAATGGTCATTGAGTTCTCTTGTCTCCCTACAGTAGTTCTGAAAGCAGACTACAAAGACTTCCCTTTCCAGTGCTGAAGGAGCTGGAATCCACAGCCTTGAGGTTTATGTTGTTGCTCAACCAATTTAGAGCCGATTCCATCAATGCGGGTCCTAAGAAGGGCAGCAGGTTTTCAGGCACTGTAAATTGCATGGGAAGAGAATGCTCACCTTTCTCCCATGGAAAGCTGCTGGGGGGTTTGAACCCAGTTCCTTTGGTTAATAATTGAATGTAAACTGCACCACACAGGGACCTCTTTCTTCCTATTAACATATATTGTTGCTGTTGTGTACTGTCAAGTCAGAACTGACCCATAGCTGACCCTCTCGCAAGTTTTCAAGAGGCAGTTAATCACATGGGAGGAGATTGTCCATCCTTCTTCCATGGAGCGGCTGGTGGCCTCGAAATGCAGGTTTTGGGGATGGCAGCACAGCTTCTTGCCACTAGGCCACCAGAGCTCCCTCATATCCATTAAAATAAATACATTTTTGCCACAGATATTAAAGATTATTCCATTGTACCATTTTCTATTTTCCCTGTCTTCTCAACCAAAATGAGAAGACTTCTTCTTAAACGTCCTGAAAGGATGTGTAAGAGAGACATGGTACTGAACCTGGTCTGGTGCAGACACTTTCTTGTCTGTCCAAGGATCACAGTCACGATACCTGGAATACAGGGAGAGCCCACAAAACACGGAGCAGACGAGGATTGCCCACAGCCCCACAAGGTTGATGTAGAGGGACCTACAGAGGTGAACAAAGGAAAAACTGGAGGTATTATTCCTACTCCAAAGACTAGGAAATTGTAGCATCAGGAGAAATGACCTTCATGATTAAACTTCTACATTAAAATACGCCTGCTATATACTACATGGAGCTCTGGTGGTTTAGTGATAAGAAATTGTGCTGCTAACAAAGGAATGTGGTTCAAATCCACCAGTTGCTCTGTAGGAGAAAGATGGGCAATCTCCTCCCCTGCAATTCATGGTCTCTGAAAACAAGCTGGAGGCTCAGCTATGGGTCAATTCCAACTTGATGGTACACAACAAAAGCAAATATACTACCTACTTCTACATACACTGAATAAATGCTTACTGTCTGTTGTTGTTAGGTGCCTTTGAGTCGAGTATCATCTATAGTGGTCCTGTGAACAACAGATCTGAACCCTGTCCTATCCTGTGCCTTCCTAACACATTAGAGCCCATAGTGGTAGTTATTATGTCAATCTACTCAGTCTTCCTCTCCTTCACCGATGCTCTGCCTTTTATACTTTGAGTACATTGCTAGGAGGGGCTATTCCATGGAGAGGGACATGTTACTTGAAAAGGCAGAGATACCGTCATTTAGCGGTCAAAAGTATATATATTCTATTCTAGTTTAACTTCCTAGTGATGATGCATTTGGAAATATTTGGAATAGATGGAGTTTTCCACTGAACAAGTGAATCTTCCTGGTAAAGGTGTGAGGATGTTATTGCTAGCTTCGTAACTATGCCTAGTAGGAATATTCCAGAACCTGTCATGAAGTAAGAATTTTTGCAATTGACAGAGCAGCGACTATTAGTCATTTTCATTTCAAAAGTAACAGGATGATACACTTCTAAGTGTGGTTGGAATCTATGTAACAACTCCCCAAACTAGCAGAGTTTCTAAGTCCACTCATTAAATGTGAAAAAGCAAACACGTATTCCTTAGACAGGAACCTTCTAGATACTCAGTGTTACCTCACACAGGAGGTGCTTTAGGCTCAAGTCGTCAGCCCTCACTCATAGCAAACCTGTGTACAACGCAACAAAACCCTGCCTCATCCTGTGACATTCTCCCAATGTCTGCATAAAAGGTGACGTAATGACACCAGAATCAGACCTATGTGTACATCCGGGCTTCACAACATAGAACCTTCAAAAACTCAAAGCCCTTGCCGTAGGGTTGGAACCGACTCATAGCTGACATTCTAGTGGGTTTGCAGAGGTGTTAAATCGAAGAGGGGACACTGCCCATATTTCCCCCTCTGAACAGGTGTAACCTTAGCAAGTAATTTGGCTTAGATTCTTAGTTTCTTTGTTTCGATCTGGAGATGACAATGCCTACCCCACAGTTATACGATGAAATGAAATTGTCTAGCTCAGACAGCACAATGCTTGGTGTGCAATGTTCACTGCCATTGGCTTTGTCTGTGACCCAAGGCAAATCCCTGCACGTAAAACAGGATGCTGGCTGGTCCTCACCATCCCTGAGATCAGTTGGGATCTACGGGACCATTGTGAACCATAGTGTTCTCACTGGCACAAAACAGACACACGTTATCAGCTATGATGACTGTTGTTGGTGTTAGAGCATTGAATGCTAGGTCTTTAGCGATGAGGTTTACAGTGAACACTCGGGAGATTACACTTCCACCTCCGGTGGTGCTGTCATGGACAGTCTGATGAGACACCCTAAACTGAAGATAGGCATTCCCCAAAATATGCCCTGCTCCCTGTCCCCTACCCCCCCAAGACAGGGGGCAACACAGTATAAAGCCCTCTGGTCTCAATGTGGAACAAATAAAAAAGTTATTCTAGCTTCTGTGTTCCCCAAAGGGCTCAGTTAAGGCCTTTAGGCCTTTGTTGCAACTGAATTACAGCCCAATCCTTCCTACTTTCCACAGGAACCTTGATTCCCTAATATTATTCCCTTACACATGAATTTTTCAGAAGGGAGCTCTGGTGGCTTAGTGGTAAGGAGCTGTGCTGCCAACCCAAAGGCACAAGGTTCAAATCTACCAACTGTTCCATGAGAGAAATATGAGCAATCTCCTGGAGTGTGATTTACAGCCTCTGAAAACCCACTGGAGGACAAGAAATGTGTCAGTTCCAACCTGGTGGTACATAACAATAACTATAGCTACAATAAGAAACATTGATTCCCTAATAAACTCAACTCTCTAGCCTCCCTCCCAGAGCCTGCTTCCTAGAGAAGCTATCTGCTACAGTTGCCATGGTTACCTATACACACAAATACACAATAGGCATTTCTTTTATATTTACCTTAAAAACTGTCACATATTTTTAACTATCTGATTCAGAGCATAGAGCACCACATTACTGTCCTCACAGCTCCTGTGACTAAACCTCTCTTTTTAAATTTCATTATATAAATTACTTAAACTTGACCTGTACTTGACTGATAAATGTGTTTCCATAAAAGTAACCAACGATTAGTGCAGGTTCACACACAGTACTGTGACTTACATTTTTGCCTGGAATCTGCTCTTACAGGAAATGTATCTCTGCACCTGGGACTGGTTGACGCCATAGATGCTGGTCCATGTGAAGGTTCCTCCTATAACAATTGTCCAGAATGTGTGTCTTTGCAATGGGTTTGGATCAAAACTAAAGGAAAACAAAAGGAAAATAAAATCTGAACTGTCAGCAGACTACTATAGAAAATCTTCCCAGAATTTTTTTTTACATTTTTATAAGCAAGCAATGTATACATATATACATAGACACACACATATCAATTTATTAATCCGTATGAAACAAAGTCATTGCCATCCAGTCAGAACCACCTCTTAGCTAACCACTACAACAGGTTTCTGGGCCGCAAATGGCCTGGGAAGAGACTGTGCATCTTTCACTCATGAGGCTGCTGGTGGATTTGAACTGCTGGAGAAGCAAGGTATTTGGGTTAGCAGCACAACTCCCTGCAGACTAGGCAACCAGAGCTCTTCAGTTAATAGAAAGGTGGTTGTTGTGGTTTTTAACTAAGTACCATAGATTCAGATCCACAGCTGACCCTCCAGTGGGTTTTCAGACACAGTTAATTGCATAGGAGGAGAATGTCCATCCTTTTACCACAGAGCACCTGGTGGATTCGATCCACATGCCTTCAGAATTGTTGGGCAGTTTCTTACCACCAGGCCACCAGAGCTCCTTAGAGGTAGACATGTTTCCACAATGTATTTGTTGAAATAAAAACTGATGTTTTGAGATATTTGGGGATTCTATGTGCAACAGTGTCTCTCTGGAGACTAAGGTGCGCCCGATACAGGCCATGGTCTTTGCAATCGCTTGTTATGCATCAGAGAGTTGGACAATGACTAGGGAGGACAGAAGGATAGTGGATGCTTTTGAGCTGTGGT